TCAGTTGTCCATCATGTTGTTCAATGCCGCGCCCACCACCGAGATCAACTTCAAGGTCGGGGAAGGCTTCGAGGAGGAGACGGTGGACGGACGCAAGTGCAGGGTGAGACCCTCGTGCCAGCGTCGCATTCCGGGTCCCGATCCCTGCGGGTCCCGATCCCTGCCGCTGGCCGATAGCTGCGGGAGGGACTTCTGTCTCGCTTTGCAGCCTGGGGCGCGCTCTCCTGGTAGGGTGTGTGCACAGGCTGTTTGCAGAGAGGGTTTGTGCCACCTGGGCTCAGAGGAGCTCCAGCCCCAGTCTCTCCCAACCCCATCCCAAAACTGCGTCCGGTGGCGTTCCCAGCCACGCCTGAAGCGCGCGGGGCCCTGAATTGCGCCGCGTTCCGCTCTGGGGCTTTTGCTGCGGTTCGTGGCGCCCTCAGCGCAAGCGCGGGCGGCGCGGGAGGTGGCGATAGCAGGGACTGCGGGTTTCCGGGCCGCGCCGCTGCCACGTTTCCCGTCGCAGGTGAAGCCGCAGCCCTCGCTCCCGCCCCCCGGGTCCCTGGGCCGCCTGGGAACGCTCTGGATCCAGTTTCAGTCGTCCCGAAGGCCCAGGCACCTCTCCCCGCCCGCCCTCATCCTGGCTCCTTAAAGGAACGGCAGAATCGTTCGCAGGTTCTGGCTGGGGAAATGAGCTCCGTGACCTCTCGTAGTCCTCAAGGGCATGAGTTTTTTATTTCTCGTACGTGGGTTCCAGGGGTGAACCAGCAGACTGAAGCAGCGTCAAAAATTCTTTTTATGCATGGGTCGAGCAGATGAAAAACCGGTCGCTGCTACTACGGCTTATTTAACAATGACAGTCTCCATCCCTTTCTCCAGTGTTTAAAAAAATAGTACAGCGTGCCAAAGAGTAGGAGAGTGGGTCTTTCCCCATTCCTAAGCCGCGCCTGTCTCATCTCAGAGCCCTGAGCTTGGGGGAGACACGGCTCCAGCCCAACCAGGAGCAGACTGACCCACGAGGCATTGTCCGGCTTCCCAAATGACCAGAGCCTGAAAATGATGTCCAGGCTTGGAGCTAGTGGGATCTGAAGCCCAAATCATCACAGACACCTCCCCCCAACAGGCTTGGAGCTAGTGGGATCTGAAGCCCAATTCATCACAGACACCCCCCCCCAAAAAGGGGGGGGCAGGACAGCATGGTTTAGAGTGAAGGCCTGAGGGCCTAAGGGGAAAGATTTGGCAATAGGCAGGACTCAATTTGGGGACATCCAAATGGTGGTGACTGCCAGGAAGGTTCATTATGATTTCGAAAAATCGAAGGTTCACACAACAGTGCGTAGAACTGGCCTTCGGTTATCCCCGCCTCCGCCTTGCAGAACAGACGTGTCCCATGTGTTAGTTGAAAAGTGATTATGTGTACATTTAGTGCTGGGTCTTATCCCCTTGCTCCCCTCAACCCCAGCCCAGCTGCGCTGCATTTTGCTTTGTGGGGAAAACAACAGGGAATCCCTCCTCTCACCTCCCACTTCCAACAGTGTGAAGGCCCTTCAGATCAGTTTGACTTGTTAAATGTTTCTAGAAGTATGCATCCTGGGAAGTGGTAGTGGTGTCTTTATCCTCCGAGCCAGAGGCGCCCGGGTTTATCAGAGTAGGCTGTGTGCTCAGCAAGGATGACTTTTTCTCCACATCTGTGCAGGGAAATGCCTTCCTGACCTGCCGATGACTGACAAGGGTACAAACATGGAGTCTTAGATGGCTGATGTGGTTACAAACACCGTGTCTTACCATGCTAGAAGGTCATGGTTCTGATGTGAAGGTTCTCCCCTGTAGAAATCCAAATGGCTTGAAGGGGCAGTTCATTCTGACACAAATGAATCATCACATTCTCTGTGTTTTATCTCTGGAGATGTTTCCTGCTTCAGTGACTGTGTGTGTGTGTGTTTTGTGTGTGTGTGTGAGATACAAGGTACATTTCTATGCTGTAAATCCAGAGAGCAGTCACTCTGAGTTTGGGCTCTGTAAGACTATGCAGAGAAGCGTCTGTGCCCTGCTGACAGGGCCCATGTGTTGAGCCTCCACACAGCCATCACTCTCCCGGGCTCCCTGTCTACTCCCACTGCCCAGATTGTAATTAACATCACTCATGGTTTTCCTGCCTGCAGAGTTTAGCTACTTGGGAGAACGAGAACAAGATCCACTGCACACAAACCCTTCTTGAAGGGGACGGCCCCAAAACCTACTGGACCCGCGAGCTGGCCAACGACGAGCTCATCCTGGTGAGGCCCCTGGACCCTGAAACAACCCTGCAGTCCCCAGATGATGCCCAAGGCGGGCCGCACACACACACACACACACACCATCCTCTCTGCCCCTGCAGAGAAAGATGCCATTGCCCTGGGCTAAATTTCGAGCAGAAAGCCCAGGGTGACAGTTTAGGTCACAGGAAATCATTGTTAAATGGTTGGCAGGAGAGAGTCGCTCAGAAGACAGAATTAGAGCCTGGGAGGGTCTGTCAGTCCCCAAACGGAGAGATCTCAGCGTTGGTGGAGAGCTTTCCACCAGCCTCCCCCTCTGGCTGGGCTCCTCCAGGTCCCCAGGCTTTCACTGCAGAAAGGTTTTTGTTTTGTTGGTGGTATTTTCCTTCTCGGTTTGCTGGGAAATGTTTTGGTGAGTTTGATTGTGTCAACAGTTAACGCCTTAGAGAACCTTCTACCCCGGACTTACAAACTCCAATGGCCTTTGGGAACAGCACAAATAGCGCTACTTTGGAGTGTCCCAGTGAAGTGTGTGTGTGTGTGTTGGGGGGGCTCCTTTGGAGCTAGAGGGGTTCCTCAAAGTATCCAGACTGAAGCTTTTTAAAAAATTTTAATTTGCTATAGGGAACTTGCACTTGCTGGGGAAAAAGAGAGAGCGAAAGGAGAAAAGCAATCCCCAGGGGTGGGCGGGCAGGGTGGAGGGGTAGAGGATGACTACACTGCAGTCCCTTCTCCATTCGGGATTTTGGTCATGCATGCACATGCCCTCATCCGGTGTTAATTTTTTTTTTTAAGAATGATTTAATTTTATTTGTTATTTTTAAAATTTGCTATACGACACATGCACTCACCAGAGAGGTAAAGTGAGAAAGCAAGCTGCCAGGTCCGGGACTCCAACTGCATCCAGCATGTTTTTCAAACCTCCTGAAACATTTTAAACACTCTCAGCCAAACAAAATTTACCTGGTGAGGCCAGGTTAGAACACACTACAGTTGTTTAGTGAGGTGGCGGAGCTGAGGGAGACTGGGGGGACAGGCCATTCCCTTACCATTCTCCCTTTGTCTCAGAACTGACCAAATTCCCTCCCAACCATCCTTCCCCGCCAGACTAGAAAAGGGAGAAGTTATTGTGGGTAACTAGGAAATTATAGCCCTTTTTTTTTTTAAGAATTATTTTATTTAACTTTATTTATTATTATCATCATTATTGTTTTCCAGTTTGATCAGAGAGAGAGAGAGGAAGTGAGAAAGCAAGCCACCAGGTCTGAGATTTGAACCATGGTCGGCCATGTGGGAGTCCAGCACCTTTAACCACCATGCCACTTGCCAGCCCCAGAAATTATAGCCTTTGTTCTCCACCACTGGGTTACAGCTTCCGCCTAAGACTGCCTGCCTGCCCTATCTTAACCAGTAGCACCCCAACATATTGGGCATGGGGTCAGCAATCTTGTCCTGGGTTTGCTGGGACAAGATTCCCTGTGTGACCTGTACATGGCCCTTCCCTTCCCAAGCTCCATCTCTTGATGTAAAATGAAGGGCTGAGCTGAAGTCTGATCCCTGGGGTCCTTCTCGGCCCTAAAATTACATGTTTATTCTGCAGGAAGAGCCTAAATTGAGCTGTCTCTATTACTTTAACTGATCTCTCTCTCTCCCCTTGTCCTTCCCTGGGATGATTTAACATGCTTTCTTCTTCCATCGAGAAAGGACTGGCTTAATTTGCAACCTGGTTAATGTCGTTTCCAGGGAAGGAATACTTGATGGGGGTCGGGGAGCGATTTGAGGCTGGGACTCGGAAGTTGAGAAGGACAGGCACATATGACCTACTAGTGCTAGAGATGGCAAAGAAACGGATGATGTCGGAGTCTGCAGTGCAGCTGGGGGTTAGGGAGGATCGGTTTGCTCCAAGAAAGTGTGATTTTATTAACCTCTCTCTCCAATGCCCAGAACAGCCAGAGGCACAGCCAGATTCTATTAGAAAGACTCCCCCACATCCTCATCTCCGCTCCCCATCCCACCCTGACTCCTGAGCACTCTTTTCATGCTGAACAAACATATATATGAGCCTCAAAGGAAGCATTCGTTCTTGGCATTTTGGATCTGAAATATGGGCTTTTGTTTCCAGGGTTATTATCATTAATAAATCCAAAATGTGGGGAGACATGGCCTCCCTATAACAAGAAGCAAATTATCCTAGTTATGTTGAAATAAGCTCTCCCAACACCAGCAATAAATTGCCCCTGGGGTGTAAGTTGCCTTCCTTTGAAAACTGATTCTACCCTCTCAAACTCTTCCAGAATATTCTTCGAGAGTTTCTTTTGGGAACCTAGAAGCATAGTTTGCAGGCTAAGAAGGCCACTTCAAATGTGGTTGGAAATGTGACGACTTCTTCTGTGTCATGAAAGCATGAGCGAGCCTAGGAGCACTGTCAGACAGCTACGATAATTACTGCCTGGAGAGAGTGAAACCCCCAAAGTCCAGCATTCCATTTGACCCTCCATGGCCATAGAGCTCAGAGAGTTCTGGAAAACTAATGAGGCGGGATGGGGATAGGAGTCCAGACATCTGAGAGGTGACTTTATGGTGGGAATTGTAACTCACCCCCCACTCCTGCAGCCACAGAATCATCTCCATTCTTCACTAATAGGAAAAGAGAGTAGGGTAAGGAAGGGTCAGAAGCAGGTGTAACTGCCGGGTTAGCCAGGACGGCC